ATAATATATATATATATGTAGATATGTAGATATGCATCCATGCATGCATGCATCTGTGGGTGGGTGGGTGGATGATCATCATGGAGTTGATGGGGAGTTGGGGATAGGTTTCTGTTTTTAGGGTTTAGGGTTTAGGGTTTAGGATTTACGTGCAGGTAGCAATTGAAGGAGCATTATCTAGAGGAGCAATAAGAGAGGCATTGGGCAGGGGGCTTCGCCCTGCAGGCGATTTGCTGCCTTGGACCCTAGCGCAAACATTTGTAGATGAAGATATAGGACTCCTAACAGGGGTAAGCAAGCCCTAAACCCTAGACTCTAGACCCTAAAACCATATTTTTCTCGAGGTACATCATTCTTGCAGTAGTCCACAAAGGAGAAGTAGTTTGGGCAGGATAAGATGAACTGCTTCTTGCCTCCGGAAGGAACCCCGACTCCAAAACCCTAAATCCTAAACCCTAATTTAGGGTTTGTGATATGTATCTCAGGCTCGGATTGTAAGGATTGCTGTCCATCCAAGCTTGCAGCGAATGGGGTTCGGGTCTGCTGCACTGCAGCAGCTGATTGATTTTTTTGAGGGGAAGGGAGTGTCTCTTAAGGAGCCTCCTGAGTTTGCTGCCTTTGCCCGCGTAAAAGAGAGACAGCAGCAGCATCAGCAGCAGGGGAATGGGAAAAAGAAACAGAGGGTATCTGCTATGGATATGGATATAGAAGACCTCGATGCAGAGGCAGGAGCATCAGAGGAGGAGACAGAAGAAGAAGAGATGAATAGTAGCGAAGAAGAAGAGGAGACAGAAGAGGAAACACGTGCTGCTTCTTCCTCCAAGAAGCGTAAAAAGGAGAAGAAAAAGTCTAAAAAGCACAAATCAACAGCAGCAGCAGCAGGAGATACGGCAGCAGCAGCAGGAAGTAAAGATCCAGCAGCAGGTGTATCATTACGTGAAGTAACATATGAGCAACTGCAGCAAACAGCAGCAACTCCTCCTCTCCTGTGTCCCTGCAGCAACAGCAAGCCTCCATTCTTTATTGACTATATAGGCTCTGCCTTCGGTCTTACCGAGCAACTGCTGCGCTTCTGGTCACGTAAGGGATTTATTGTTGTATATTTACGTCAGCAGCCTAATGACGTAACAGGGGAGCATAGTTGTATTATGCTGCGCCCTATTACTCCTGCTGCTGCTGCTGCAGCAGCAGCAGCTGCTGCTGCAGCAGCAGGGGAAGAAGATAAAGAAGGAAAGGCTAAGGAAGAAAGAAATCGTCATGGACTTTATGGAGGCATCCGTGCACAAGGAGAGACAGTAAGAGACAATCAGAGCAGCAGCAGACACAAAAAGGAGGCACTTAATAGATAAAGAGACACATAAAAAGAATAAAAAGGAAGAAAGAAAGAAAGAAAGAGACAAAAAGGGAGGGAAAGAAAAATAAATAAGAGACAGGAGACAGTAGTTGCTGCTGGATAGAGGATACAGTTGCCTCCTTTATACGTGCTGGATAACAGACACTTGTATGTGTGTGTGTGTTTGCTGCTGCTGCTGCTGCTGCTGCTGCTGCTTCGGCTTCTGCTGCTGCTGCTGCAGGGAAGAACAGCAGATCCTGAATGGATACAGCTATTTGCTGCTGACTTCCGTCGTCGTTTTATGCAACTATTAGGGGGCCCCTTCAGGCATCTCCCTGTCTCCTTAGCCCTTGCTATTACCTCAGGGGGCCCCCAGGCCTCGCAGGGGGGCCCCCATGGTTCCTCACCGCCTCTTGATGCACAAACAGTGAGCACATCTGCTGCTGCTGCTGCTGCTGCTGCTGCTGCTTCGGTTGGTGCTGCTGCTGTTGCTGCTGCGGCAGCGGTTGGTGTTAGTATAAGTATATTTGTATTGAATATACACATATTTGCATTAAATATAAATATATAACGTAGATAAATAAATACATAAACTAATTAATTAATTAATTAATTAATTAATTAATTAATTAATGTGTATATTTGTTTGCAGCTACTATCCATGATTACTCTACATGATTTACATCGACTAAATCAATATGCAAATCAATTGGCCGATTTACCCTTAATCATGGATTTAATTCCTTTTTTATTTTTTATTTATTTTAGTAAAATTATTCCTTCTTCTTCTTCCTCCTCCTCCTCTTCTTCTTCTTCTTCCTCCTCCTCTTCCTCCTCTTCTTCCTCCTTACATTTATCTTTCTTACAATGTGCTACTTTATTAGCATTAGGAGGACAAAGAAAACTACGTAAGATTACAACGGTCTCCTTTTCTCCCCTTTTCTGTCTCTTTTTCTCCTTTTGTTTGTCTCCTTTTGTCTCCTTTTGTCTCCTCCTGCTCCACTAGGAGACACACAAACACACTCACCTCTAGTAGCCACAATGCTGCATACATGCATGCATGCGTGCATGCATGTATGCATGCAAGCATGTTGCAGCGCGGATGGCATAGGTCACCAAACACTGCCTCTAAACCCTAAAAATCCTAAACCCTAAACCCTAAACCCTAGTTGTATATGTGTGTCTGTTTGTGTGCAGCGGATGAAGTTGCTGAGGAATTTAATGCGCCTGTCCATCAAGTCTTAGCCTTGTTTAATAAAGCAGTTGTTAAATTACACCAATACCTACGTGTAAGGGTTTAGGGTTTAGGGTTTAGGCAGGCTTCCTATTTGTCTCTCTGTCTCCTCCTGTTTGCCTCTTTTCCCTCTCCTTCTGTCCCATCCACTCGTGCATGCATCAACGCATGCATCAATGCATGCGTACATGCGTGCATGCATGAATATGTGTGTGTCTTGATGTATACATTTAGGGTATATTAGAGGCAGAAGAAGAGGCAAAGTTTATGCAGTCATCAACAAGAAGAGTAGCAATTAAACAAGGAGCAGCAGTAGGGCAAGGGGGCCCCCTTGAGTCCCTAGGGGAGGCGCAGCAAGCAGCAGCAGCAGAGGTGCTGCAGCAGCAAACCCTACAGATAAAGAAAATTAAGGAAGCACTAGGCCCTGATGCTATTGAGGTAAGGAAGGGAAAGGAGACACCATGTTGAATGCAAAGGAGACACTTACATATATGTACATAAAATAAATATTATATACATTATATATTATTTATTTATTTACTTATTTTTTTATTTATTTATTTTTTTTTTGCTGCAGAAGTACGGCGTTAGTCAATTTACTGCAGAGGAGATTGCAGGGGCAACAAAAGGTGGTGATTTGTCTGGTAAGAAATGCACTAACTGCCTCCTTTTTTACTTATTTATTTATTTTATTTATTTATTTTATTTATTTACTTTATTTATTTTTGTGTCTCCTTTATTAATTATCTCATTTATGTAGGCTTTCTTTTCCTGCTGCTTTTATTGTGTCTCCTTTTGTTTATGCATGCAACTTTTGGGGCTTTTATGATTGCTGCATATTTACACACACACACACACACACACACACACACACACACACACCCAAAAACCCCCATTACGTTGTAGGGTTTAGTGTTTAGGGGATTGTTTATGTTTGTCTCCTTTAGGGTGTATATCTCTTCCTAAGAAGGCACCACCAACTACTAATACAAATAATAAGCAAACAGACAGCGGCAATTCGCATAAAAAAAACAAACATAAAAAATATAAAAATCTTTCCTTTTAAAGCCCCAAAAGAAGGGGGCATCAACTTTGGGGCTTTGCATGCAGCGCATGCATGCAATGCATGCATGCAATAAACATGCATGCATGCAAGGGTGTCTTCGTGCACTCTTCTTTTGTCTTTTTATTTACAGACAGTTTTCTATATCTAATCCGATTTATAAAGTAATTATATCCTCGCAAGACACCCCACAAGTATAAATAGACAAGTAAATATATTTAATTACATTTATACAATTATAATTATATTTATGGTTATATTTATTAATATCTAAGCCTAAAATAGCACTGGGGTACCACTAGGTATTATAATCCTCTGTACCTATCAGCTACACTGACACCAATAAATGGCATTAAATATCCTTTAAACAAAAGTACTTATCCATAGAAAGATATTTAATTGAGGAATACGAAAAAAAAAGACTATTTACTCGTCCTCTCCCTCCTTTCCCCCCTTCTAAGGTGGGGGTCACTCGCTCCTTCACCCCATCAGCAGCCAGATACACAAGGGAAGTTTTTGCATTTTCTCTATATATATTGCATTAAATAAATAAAGTACAGTTATTTTAATATACGTTACTCCTTTTTAACGAAAAGATCGCAAGAAGACCACAAGATGAACCATTGTACTGCTCATGCACTACTTGTAGTGCACAGAATGAGCGTTTGTGGGGGTAATGCAGCATAAAGTTGCTTTTTATTTTATGGATATTTATTTAATTTAAGTTTATAGCAAAAAGTACTCTTATTCTTTAAATATTCAAATAAATGAGCGTTTAGTTGCTCGTGGTTTGCCGTGTCTACGCGAGTCAGTAACCCCCCACTAGATAGCGGCTAGGTATTTACGTACATCGTTTATCTAAAATTGATTCCTTTTAATTTATTATTTAGGATTTATTAGTAAATATTAATTATTAAGTATATTTGCTTAATGATCCACTAAGAAGGCTAGCATAGGCCAATGGGGGGCCCCCTTACCTGCTGGGGCCCTCCCGCGTGTGCTGTTGCTGTCGGGTACTGGTTGCTTCGGTGTGGGGCCATATTCTGCAGTAAAAAGTGAGTTTATTCGTGGTTTTCTTCTTGATTTTCTTATTATTTACTGTTTTAATTGTCCGTTTGCCTTTATATCCGTCCAATATCCCTTGGGGGCCCCGTGTGAGCATCGAGAGGGGCCCCTGAGGGCCCAAGATTGGATTCTTGCTTTTATTGTTCGCCTTCTTCTCTTATTATTTTTATCTTTTTTGCAAGGGGCCCCCTCTTGTACCCATTTGGGGCCCCTGTGTATATTTTTCTTTTTTTTCTTTTTCCTCCCTAAGGGGTGGCAGTGGCCCCCCCAACCACCCATATAGGGCCCCCTTTATTTCCCCAGTATTTTTTTCTCTTAAGGGTGGTGTTTCCAAAGAAGAATAAATAAAGATATTTTTATTTATATATATATTTATATATATATTTATATAAATATAAATAGATTAAATGCGATGGCAACGGTATCTGTAGAGGTGGCGTATGTATTATTCTTTGTGAGTTTATTTGGTTTTTCTTTGTGTATATTTTATAGTGCTCGTCATGTATCTCTTGATGGTTTATTATCTCCTGGTTTATGGTTACTAAGTGCAAGAGGGGAGATAGGTTGGGGGTCATTAGGTTTATCCCTTTATGCCTCCTTTATGGGTAATTGGGTACTATATTTACCTGCATTAGCAGGTAGTTACTATGGATGGGCAGGAGTAATAGGTTATTCATTAAGTAGTTGTCTTCCTTATATATTATTATTAATTATTTCTCCTTATATATGTAATAAAAAAATAATAAATAAAAAAGGATTAATAACTTATTGTAGTTGTGATTATTTAGATGATAGATTGGGTACATTAGCAAGAAGTATATCTGCATGCATATCTATATCTATGATGTTTTTATCCCTTTCCTCTGAATTAACTACTATAGGTCTATCTATTTCTTCCTTAGCAGATAAAGGATTTTCTTTACCTTGTGCTGTTTTATTTGTTGCCTTTGTTCCTCTTATTTATGTAGGTATAGGGGGAGTAACATGTAGTATTATTAGTGATGTAGCACAAGCCCTTGTTATAGTTGCCTTATTTATACCCTTAATGTTATATTTATTATTATGTTTTGCTGGTCCCGATACAACAACAACAGCAGCAGCAGCAGCAGTAGCAGCAGCAGCAGCAGGAGATACATCTGCTGCTGTTGGTGCAGCAGCAGATCTTGGTTCCTCTATTACAGCAGCAGCAGTACTTATCCTATCTATATGGCCTACCTTCCTATGCGACCAAGGAATATGGCAAAGATTATGGGCAAGTAGATCCATAGAGGATATGCAATTAGGTTTGCTGCTAGCAGCATTCTTAGCAGGTGCCTCCGTGCTGCTATTTGGTGCAGCGGGTAGTGCATGCATACCATTAAGAGAACAAATATATAAAGGAGGATCTTTATTCTCTTTTGCTGCAACTTATTTACCACAAGGATGGACAGCATTATTATGTGTCCTTGCTGTTGCATGCGTTACCTCTAGTGTAGATACATACCAAGTAGCGGCGGTGTCTGTTATAGGCAGAGAAATAGAGAGAAGAAATTCATCATTTAATTGGGCACGTCTTGCTATGTTATTAATAAATATACCAGCAATTATTATTGCTGTATTACAATTATCCCTTATGCGTCTATTTATGGCGGCTAACTTCCTTTGTGCTATTTTATCCGGTCCTTTTCTTCTATCTATACACCCTAAGGTTAATAATTGGGGATTTATTGGTGGATTAATTACTTCTACTATTGGGTTGCTGCTGTGCGCAATTGCTGCTGCAGCATCAGCAGGAGAATCCTTCTCCTTTGCTTTCTTTGTACCTGATGATATTTCTTCTCTTCCTTATCTTGTTGCATTCATTGTTGCTCCTCTTGCTGGTGCAGCAGGTACTGCTCTTTTTAGTTTCTTGGATATTTACCTCGGCAGACGCAAGGCAGCAGCAAAAACAGCCGCAGCAAAAACAACAGCAGCAACGGCAGCAGCAGCAGCGGATAAGCCCTTCTCCGACGCCGCACACCCTGATGAACTACAACAATCGCAAACTCGCGTACAAACCAAAGAAAACTCAAGACAGGACGACCCAAACAACTGCAGCAGCAACAACAGAAATTTATGCAGCAGCAACAGCAATTTGTGCAGCAGCAGCAGCAGCAGCAGCAGTTGCCAGGTCTTGCAACCCCCCAGCAGCAACGAACCGGAAGCCCAAGTGGCGGCAAATATGGTTTGAAGCCCTCTTCCTACCACTACGCATGTATGCAAGGAAAATGCATGCATGAGTGAATGCGTGCATGCGTGCATGCATGCATGCATGTGGGATGCGTGCATCGTAAAGCAGGCTGTCTCTGTTGCTGCAGCTAATACGCTGCATGTACAGCCAACGAGCAGTCTGTTTGTCGCTATGCTATGCGATGTGTAGCTGCATGCAAGGGGAGAAACCTAATGCTTAAGGGGTTATCTTTATCTGTCTTTGGGGCTGTCCATCCCCATTATTAAATAGCCCCACCTTGCCCCCGCTGGCCATGGTGGCCGCTGTGCATGCGCTAACTTGCTATTTGAATACATTGCATGCATGCGCTTGAGCTGTACAGACAACTTATTTTTTTTTTAAAGAACCATCAGTGGGCATTTACTTACTGTCGAGTTCAAAAAAATGCACGCATGCGTTTTATGCATGCATGCATGCATGCTTTTTATGCATGTGTGCGTGTGTTTTATGCATGTGTGCATGCGTTTTACGCATGCACACATGCGTGCACGAGCTGTTGTGCATACATGTTTAATGGCTCTTTGCTGACTGGTAGGCATAGTTTAAACTTAAAAGAGGCAGTTGCACTTATAATAGGATAGTAGGAGAACACAGGAAAATATCCACAGCTGCGGTGTCTTGACAGCTTAAGAAGGGAGACAGACTGCAGCAGGAGAGCAGCAGGAAAGAAGAAGACGTCATTATCATAGACCTAGGCGTTTTCTTATTTTATGCATGCTATACAATACCTAAGGAAAAAGACAGCAACACAGTACACATATACAGACATGTGCCATATGTGACTGCGTGCACGGTTGTGCATGAATGCATGCAAATGCCCCAGTGCCTGTATTAGTGTCTTACCGATGCCCCCAAGCCCGCAGAGACAGCGTTCTTGAGGCTGCACTTAAGGGTGGGTCCAAACACCAACTGCTGTAGGCCCAGTCGCAGGGCGTTTGCACTGGGGGGCCCCACAACAGGCTGCCCACCAGCTGGGATGGGGCCCCCGCGGGGCCTCTCTAAAGGCCTACAGAAAAAACCCGAGAAGCTCCTTAGGGGATGGTGGGAGACTGCATGCAAACAAATACCCTTGTGGAGACAAGAAGTCTATTGCAGGAAGAATAACAGCAGTACACACACTAAACTAGGGTTTATGGTTTAGGGCTTGTTCTTACCAGCCTCTGCTCTCTGACGAAGAGACAGAGGAAGGGGCTCATAAAGAGCAGCTAGAGCAGCAGGTGATCTGTCTTGCTGCACACGCAAAAGCCCACCTAAACCCTAAACCCTAAAGCCCAAACCCTACACCCTAGCCTTCAGGGCAATCTGCAAGGTGTTGCTGCCACAGTATGAGCTCTTAGGGGTTTACCCGGACGCGAATGCGACGGAGTTGTAGGGGCCCCCATAGTGCATGCGGGTTCTGGAGGGCTCTCTGTAACAACGGGCCCTCCCCAAGAACAGAGGGCTCCCCAGTACACAGGGGGCCCCCCTCCACCTCCAAGTGAACAGAAGGGATCTCCGATAAAAGCGGGAGGTAAATTGAGCACAAGGCGTCTCCTTGGCCATTAACCTGAGCAAAAGGAGACACCTATCAACAAGATGTGCTGTCTGCATGCAAGACAGGACCTTCTAGCCGGTCACGAGGTTCTTGGGGGCCCCTGCAAGCGTCGCCAGGTACTCCTAAGGGGCCCCTCAGTCTTTAATATAGCTCGCAAGGAGTATAAGAATAGGGATTAGCAGCAGAGCACAAACTTGTCTGCTGTGGTGCATAGGCACCTACAATTGCCTTAGCCTTGTTTGGATCCTCAGCAAAGAGTACCCTAAAGTCTCCTGTAGGGACAGCAGCACAAAGGCGGCACATGGGGGCACCACAGGTTCGTTAGGAGGTTTGTGCCTTGGGGCCCCTATGAGTCCCTCTAGGGGCCCTCAGAGTCCCTCCAGAGGCTCCCTGGGGGAACTCAACGTGCCCTTAGGGATGCTCTTAGGGGGCCCCTCTTACCTCTGTAGGAAAGGGAGACAATTTCCTTAAGGAGACACTCTAGTGTAACCTCCTCAGGCAGCAGCAACAGGGCTAGTCGCAGCTGCATGCAGCAACAAGATACCCAAACCCTAAACCCTAAACCCTAAACCCTTAACCCTGAACAACAGACTCTAAAGTCTAACGTTCAAGTCATCAGACACAATACAATAGATACAGACAGCAATAAGATAAAGAAAGAAGGAAAAGGAGACATAAAGATATAAACGGAGACAGTAAAAAAGGAGGCGACAATAGAAAAGGAGGCAGTCTCCTTTTTGTTAACTTACTGCATTACGTCTATTCGTCTCCAACGCGTCGTCAAATTCTTTTCTTCTCTCTGCGGTGTCTCCCCACCAACTGATAGATACCTGCATATACACCGTATTTACCTTAATATTATATATATAATTTATTTATTTATATTTAGTTGTGTCCTTATATTCATATTTGTATCTGTATCCCTCTTTATATTTGTATCAATACTTGTATTTATATTTATATTTATATTTATATTTATATTTATATTTATATTTATATTTATATTATATTTATATATATATTGATATTGATATTGATATTTTTATTGATATTGATATTGATATTGATATTTATATTGATATTGATATTGATATTGATATTTATATTTATATTTATATTTATATTTATATTTGTATTTATATTGTACATTTTATTGCATTATTATAAATATAAATCATTAATATATAAATAAATACACCATCTAATTAGGGCACGCATATGCATAAACATAAAATACACATATATACATAAAATGGGGAGAAAGGAAGAGAAATAACGTAGAGGGTACAACTACGGTATCGGCTGGGGGATGGGGCCGTGTTGAGGGCCCCACTCTAGTGGTGTGGGCCCCCTCGTGTCGCTCACAGGCTTCTGCATGCGGCCAGCCATATACATGTGGGGCCAATACTTCATGTCCAATAAGACAGACTCTGTGCTTGTTACGCCATACTTGCACAACTGCAGCAAATGCAGCAGCAACAGATTATGCAGCAGCTTGTGCTGGTGCTGTTGCTTCTATTCCTGCTGCTGCAGCAATTATAGGACTGCAACAGCAGCGGCAGAAAGAACAGCAATCCAACATCTCACTGAGGCAACTCTACGACGGCAACAACGAACCCACCACTACCAGCAGCAGCAGTAACAACAGCAGCAGCAACACCATATGCAGCAAGAAGAGCTTAATATAAACTGGTAGCAACTGTAACACTGCATGCATGCACGCGACGAACCTTGGGGCAGTCGAGGCCAGTGGGGACTCTGCAGTTGAAGAGTACATGCACCCCTGAGGCCCTTGTTAGCAGCAAAACCCCTTTTGCTGCTGTTTGGGGGCCCCCAAAAGAAGATAAACACCCAAAAAGAGACGAATAATGATGCATATTTTCCTTTAAATTTGCTTCATGCCACTGCAGCAGCTGCTGCTGCGGCACCAGCAGCAGCAGATCCCCCATGGGGGGTTTGCTGCTGCTGGTTGGAATTGAAGAAGCCCCTGGCACATCTGGGTGCTCTTGCTGCGAGCGGCTCCCCGTCATCCCCAAAGGTGCCTCCCCATGAGCCCCCTTAGTGACTCCTTGAGGCGCCCCCTGGGAGGCCCCCTGGGGGGCCCCCGTGGGACCCCCCTCCTGTTTCCACTGAGGGAAGAAATTGGAGCCGTAACAAATGCAACACTCCACAGGGGGTACATTTAACTGAAAAGGAATCCGCGGGGGTTGCAATGAGTTCTGCTGTTCTATGTTCTCCCCCCCGTCACTAGCTGCAGCAGACATGGGGGCCCACTTCTTGATGTTCTCCTCTCACGTTACAGTCTACAGGGGTCCCTACATCCATGTACGGCCTCAGAGGCCCCCCAAGGGCGGGGCCCTTGGAGGGTACCTCTGGGATCAGGAGCAGGCAACTGAGGGCCCCCAGGTGCCGCTGAGTACGATGCGCGTAGGGGGGGTCCCCGGGAGAGTTGCTGTTTGTTGTCACTGGTGTAAAGATAAATACATCTAAAGGCTCAGATCAACAAATAAGGGGCCCTCATGCCCATACACTGCATTGAAGTACCTTCTCACTGCCGACGGGGCCCCCCTGCGGCTGTAAGGCACACTGGGTCTTTGCTTGCTTGCATGTATTTGTTAGTTAAAAGAGGGTAGCTTTATAGAAATAAAGATATTATTGAGTGTCAACTAAGAATTATAAGATAGAGGCAACGTGTTTATGCTTAAAGCGCCCTTTTTGCTTCTCCCCCTGCCACTGCAGCAGCAGTAGCAGCAGCAGCAGCTGCTGTTGCAGGGTCTGCCTGGCGTGTGTCGTCACCAATAAGTGCCTGTCTGTTTGTCGGCGCCTCTTCTTTCATGTTTTTCTTTCGTTTGTTTAGTTGTTTTATTACTCTAAACTCTCTACCGCTGATCAACTAGAGAGTGCTGGGGCCAGCAGACGATACCCTGCTGCTGCTGCTGCTGGTGAGTTGCGCTCTTAGGCAGCCTGTCTCCGTCCTTCGCAACTAACTCACCCTCTGTATCTCCTTTCAAGACATTGTGTCTCCGCAGCACATCTTACCCCTGTTCTCTCTCCCCCTTTTTAAACCCCTTCGATCGCAGCGAAACTGGCAGCGCAGCAGGAACAGCAGCAGGAGCCGAGCAGCTTCCGTGGCAGCAACAGCAGCAACAGCAGCAACAGCAGCAACGTTAACAGCAGCCAAGTCTTTTGCATTTGTATGTTCTGATCTAAGGAATACCCCAACAAAGTGTGTTGTATAACTAGGTCTTCTTCTCATGTTGCCTGCATTAGCAGCAGTTGTCTCTCCGTTAGCAACACAACTCTTACCTCTTAAGGACCAGCAGCAGCAGCAGCAGCAGCAGCGGAAGATGGGGATCGTCTCTGCAGAATCTGTCCCTGAGGCCATCCTCTCAGTTGCAGAGAAATCCCTCAGCCCTCAGCCGCTGTTCTTTGGTTTATCAGGGCCGCAGTTATCTCGCATAGCTCGTGAGGTGTACGTACACCTAAGAAATAACGGCAAGCATACTCTTGCACAACAGGCAAAAGTACTTGTTGACCCTGATGCTATAGCCAAGGCGCTGCAGCAGCTGCAGCAGCAGTCGCAACTCAACCACCAGCAGCAGCTCCAGCAACAGCCGCCGCAGCAGCAGCAACAGCAGCAGCATCATGCAGGACCTTGTACTGCAACATCCTGCCCTTGCTGCATGCACAGAGCTGCCCTCTTGGGGCATCATGGGGGGCCTATCCAGCCACAGATCCTCCCGGTTGTGGTACCGCAGCAACAGCCTATGTGGCAAGTTCAGCTGCCGCTGCAGCTGCAGCAGCAGCAGCAGCCGCTGCAGCAGCAGTCTTGCACTCAACCGCACCACAAACAGCACCCGCAGCTTCCCCACGAGTGTGAATCTCACACACAACATCTACACCAGCAGCAGCAGCAGCATCCCCAGCAGCAGCAGCGCTCGGAGCAGCTGCAGCAACACCCGGCACAACCACAACAAGTGCAGGGAGAGGTGCAGCAGGAGCAGCAGCAGGAGCAGCAGCAGGTGCAGCCTAAATCACGGAAGGCATGCGTAGCCCGTCTGTTATTTGCGATAATAGCAGCAAAGTTGGCGAGGGATGCCATGGAGAATCTAAGCGGCAGCAGCAGCAGCAGCAGCAGCGACCGTCTAGCTTATACTGCCGATCCTTCTGAAGGAGGCATGGGATCTGTCTCAGTTGAAGGTCTTGCTGCTGCACTGTCTCCTGAGAGGGGATTCTTTGCAGGTCTTCCTAAGGATTTGCTGCAATCGCTGCAGCGTGTTATTTCTGCTGCAGTTGACGGCATCAATGCAGCAGTAGGTGCAGCAGGGTATGCTCCATTAACTTCTCAAGGGGGCCCCCGAGGGGGACCCACAGAGGGCTCCGAGGGGTTACTAGATGGCCCAGCTGTAGAGCTCCCCCCTCTATATAACTCTAAGGCAGAACAAGGAGGGACAGAGCTCAGTATACACGAGAAGTATGCAGGAGAATTAATACAAAAACTTATTAACTTAAAGAATGCAAGAGGAACGGAGTCCTTAAAGCTGAAGGGAGCAACAGCAACCAGGCAGCAGCAGCAGGAACAGGAACAGCAACAGCAGCAGCAGCAGGAACAGGAACAGCAGCATAGGCAATGGGAGGGGGAACAGCATAAGGTGCAGGTTACCGGTAGAGAGCACCTACAGACACAGCAGCAGCAGCAGCAACGGCAGCAGCACCACCACCACCAAAATCGCCGTGCTAGTGTGATACCACGGCCGGATGATGACGAGAAGGCTCTTGACGAAGAATTCAAAGTATGCTTAGGGCTTAGGGTTTAGGGTTTAGGGTTTATGTGCTTGTAGCAGGTTGCGTCAGTCTCCTGTCCTTGTGTCATGGTATGTCTCCTTGTTTATTTCTTCTTTTATTTGTCTCTTTTATTCCCTTAAGGAGGCAGATTATGCTGAGGGGTACATAGATGTCTCTCCTATTAGTAAGGAGACAGTTGCCTGTTCTATGTATATTATATATAAGGTGTCTCCTTTTTATGATGTCTGTCTCCTTAGGGATATATTCGTGCTGCAGAGCAGCACAAGGGGGCAAACGTGCTCTCTATAGAGCAGCAGCTCGCCTTCTATGGTTTATATAAGAGAGCTACTGCTGGCCTCTGTCCCTCTAAACAGCCGTCGCGCTTCAACTTACGCGAATATAAGAAATGGGTAAGCAGCTAGCTAGCTAGCTAGCTAGCCAGCCAGTAGCTATTTAGGAGCTGAGAAGGTAGCTAGCTAGTAGCTACCTAGTAGCTACCTAGTAGCTAGCTGCCTACCTCTCTGCCACATGCCTCCCACCCCCGCCACTCTTAATCCAAGTTGTTTACTTGGCTAACTGGCAACGATTGTGGCTAGCTGCCAAGCTCACTACGCAGATCCATAGCTAGTTAGTTGCATGGCTAGCCAGCTACCCACGAAATGGCTTGAACAAGGTGTACGTATACCGCTGCTGCTGACCCAACTGTGGTCTGCTGCTGCTGTTGCGTGCTGGCTGTCTGCAGGAAGCCTGGAAGGCATGCAACTCGATGTCTGCGTTGGAGGCGAAGAAAGAATATGTAAGAAGGGCCCGCGAGGTTAAGAAGCTGCATGCGCGGCTGTAACCTGCGGTGTACGTACAGTGTACGACGAAACAAACTCTATAAACATATGCCTTTCCCGTTTACTGCTAGAGTAATAACAGGCGCTGCTGCAGCAGCGCTGCTGCAGCAGTGCTGCAGCAAACAGCAACAAGCGTTAGAGGCAGGCCCTCTCTTAGAGCAGCCTTGCTGTCTCCCTGTTCACCGCAGCAGATGGTCCTTATACAGGGACCTTAGCAAAAAGCGACAAACAATTCGTCTCCCTTCCGTTGTTTTCCTTCTCCTATAAAGCCCCTTGCAAGCTGCTGCTGCTGCTGCTATATATATATATATATAT